TGTTAAGTACTTTACAACAACTGTTTCTTCCCCTCTTGACACAGCCTGACTTCCTTAAAGAAGATCTGACTGGCCAGACAGCTGTGTTGACCCTTAGGCCTTCTTTGATTCGTGATTTTTTTTTTTAACAAACAGAATAGAAATTCACAACCCAAATCCTTTCCTAAGCTCCAATACTCTTGAGTTCGCTAGTGTTGTGCCTGAAGGATGTGGACATTTCAGTAATCTATAAGCAGAAAGATAAAGATTGGGTCTACACAATCCCAAAACCTTTAGATGAAAAGCAAGATGCGGGGGGCGCGGGGCGGGGGGAATCCAGCAATGCACCAGAAGCTTTATCCAAAGGTGATACTTGAAGTTCTGTGGGCAAAATCTGCTTAATTCCCCAAAAATTGCACTTTTCACTCAGACACCCTGGCAGCAAACAGACAACCAAGAACAGATACAGGCATGTCTTCTTTAAAAAATGTTAACCATAATTACCACTTTGTAAAGTGGTCCGTGTGTTTTCATTTCTTTATACGTTTCTGGATTGTCCAAGTCGCCCCACATCGAACATGTCTTCTTTGTAGGGCTAACAAACGTAAAGTTATCTTTCCAAGCATGAATGCCCAGTACCCTTTCCACGTGAGGGTGAAATTCAAATGTACCACGGCAAAGGAGCACCGGGAGGCAGAAAAAACACTGTGTGTGTGTGGTCACTGGGTATAAACGCGTTGCCAGTTTTTGGTAAACCTCATAGCCCAGGAAACACTGGAGGAAAAAAAAAAAAGATTTGTGTTCGTTCTCAACGTTTTGTCGTTGTTGCGTGGAGATTTCTGCACAGCCCCCCTCACTGCGTTTTTAACAACAGGATAGTCACTGCACTTCATGCACACTGCCCCTCCCTTGATTATCCTCAGTAGTGCGGGCCCCTTTTATGCACCAGTAACGAATGCGGAATTTTCCGCGCGCACGCGCATCCGCTCACTCACAGATACCAATCCTAGTGTGCAAAAACAGAGGCCTGCGTTTCAGCGGCTTTGCGTTCCTCCGATGCCGCCCTGCGCAGCTTTGAGAAGTCAGTGTCCCCATGAACTAGCCATTGTGACAAGGCCAAGTAGTTCCCTCTCCACGGACCCACTCAGCAACTCCGGGCCTGCCTGGTGAGAACCAGGAAATCCTTCTAACTCCCTCTTCCCTGCCGCATCCAGGCTTTAGGCATTACAGAAATCTAGGTTCAAAATAATCTACTTTCTTAAATACCTGCCGCCTAACTCTCCTCAAAACACACCAGAACGTTCCCGTGGGCAGGAGAGAACTGAATCCGCTGCAAGGCTGCAATCCACACCCACAAGGGAATTAGTGGGGGGAGGGGGGTGGAGATGCGGGACCTAGGAGGGCGCCTCAAATCAGGCCCCGCTTCTGGCCTAACTGCCCCTGCGCCCCAGAGTTTTTGAGAACCGGGGCCGGGAGGGTCGGGGACAGTGAGAGAAAAGGCACGCAGGGTGTGCGCGGAGCTCAGAGGGACGGCAGCGCCCTGAGCCCAATGTGTCGGGACCGCCAGTGGACAAAGCCGAGCGGGTAACGCGCGCCGCGCGGGGCACGGAAGCCGCGGGAGCACCCGGGGAGCACCGGATGAACACCGCTCTCCCGAATCTCGCGGGCGGCGCGGACACGCGCGGAGACCTGAGCTCCTGGCAGCCCCGGGGGCACCCCCGTGAAGGGGAGAGACGGGAACAGGCTTCGTGGGGTGGGAGCCCCCACGGAGGTGCGTCGAGTCGGAACCCGCGAGGCCTGCAAACCCGGCGAGCACACGGTGGAGGGAGCCGTCGCTCGCGCCCCCGCGGCCCGGGCGGTGGCTGGGCGCCCGACGCGCTGCCCCGCGGCCGCGGGGAGTGTACAACAAGCTGGGGGTGGATGGGATTTCTGCGCCTCCGGGGGTGCGGGCGCCTCTCGAGCCTCCTGGCAGCGGATGGGGGGGGGGGGGGGGGGGGTAAAGGAGTCCAGAGGCTCCCGTGCCGGCTGGTGTCTGTCTGGGGGGCGCGCTCCGGCGGCGCGGACACTTACTTCTCGTAGTCATACTTGCAGTAGAGCTTCTTGTCCCGGTAGAAGCAGGTGGTCTCCAGGGGCTCTTTGCAGGAGGCGCACTGCACGCACTGCTCATGCCAGAAGCTGTCGTTGAGCCGCAGCAGAAACCTGTCCGAGATGACCCGTTGACAGCCCTCGCAGACAGACTTGGGGCTCACCGCTCTGCCTACAGCAGCAATAGACGTTCGCGGGTCAACCGCGCCGGCCCAGCATCCCGGCCAAAGGCGGCCGGGACGGGCTCCCATCACTGATCACTCCACACCCGCCGATTTCCCCCGCGTCCCCCACCCTGCGAAGCCCCCTGCTAAATCCACTAAAGCGAGTTGTGGAGAACAGAGGAAAATCAAACCGAGTGTTGTTTCTGATAAACGGCGACTCCATGGGAAGGTTCCAATTCTCCGGGGTTGGGGGCGCGAATCAGTAAGCGGCCTCAAAGATCAAACCTGCCCAGGTGGTCGCGGAAATGTGCGCGCACCCAGTAAAATTAGACCGCAAATACTGTTGCGCTCCCAGGTTTATCAGGTGAGTATGAAGCCACTCACTGGGCTGGTCTCTTTCGACAATGATTAAAACTAAGAGTCTCTAAAAAAGAATTGGGGGGACTGGTTTTGCCTTCTGCTAAAACGCAATTCTCTTCTATGTTTTGGGGGAAAATTTTAAGATTTTTTATTTTCTTCCTAAAAAGTATCATTCGTGGAGAAAAATGCGATCTCCCTCCAGGCAAACTCAGTATTGTTCGAAGCAATGAACCCCAGACTTCTGCGTCTTGGCTAAAACAAACTTCAGAGGGGTTTATATATATAATTGTATATATGTGTGTATACGTATATGTATATACATGTATATTACATATATGTACACATACACACACACATAATGTAATTAAGAAGCATCAAAATAGTAGGGAAAAGGGAGGAAGGACGCAGGGCGCGGAGATGCCACGGGAGTTCCGGGGATGGGGGTGCTGGGCTGCGGCGGGAGCGGGCGACACCCACCCCAAACCCACTCCGCGTGCACAGGGAATCCTCTCTACCCTACCCCCTTGGACTTTTGCCTGTTCGGTTCCTTTCTTTTGCTGGGTAGGGAGTGCACTTCTTTAGGATGGAGGAACGCTTAGCCGCCTTTGTCGGCACATTTCACAGCTATTTAAAGAAGGCCTTGTCCCCTGGTAACAATACTCCTGCGCGTGGTGTCCCAAAGGGCCTGACCCTTCCCCATTTCCTTGCTACACTCCTGTCGCTTTTCCCTTGGGGGATCCTGCCACCGGTTCCTGAGTCGAGCCAGTCGCGCTGGGGCAGGGCAGGGAGGGCTAAGAAAAGTAGCGAGATAGTTCTCAACTGTAAAATGGTCTATTCTTTCTGCCCTGTCTCGGCATTCAGGGCCAGGACCCGGACGTTGGGAGCCGCCGTGAACCGGGAGGGGCGAATCCCTCCCCTGCGAGCCGCGACGCCCGCTGTAGGTACAAAGTCGCCCGCGCTAGGTGCCAGGGCAATGCCAGCTCTGCAACCCCCCCATCCCCGCACTCTTCCGACGCTGTACGGAGCCGAGAAGTTTCCGCAAGCGCGGTTGAAAGAGGGGAGCGCAGCGCGCGTGATTTCGTTTCATCTGGGGAGTAGGGAGAACTCCTCTCTGGATTTGGTTTCTCCAGGCGAACTGCCTCCTCGCCTTCACCCCGCGGTAGCGGTTCCGAGTGAGGGAAAGAGGCAAGAGGTTTAAATGACAGAACGAAAATCTCTCCCGCTGAAAGGGTAAAACACCCGCGACCCACACCTGAAAAACACCAAGGTCTGGGTGAGAGGCGGGGTTGAGAATCCTTGGCCTCAGATCAGCCAGACCCTCGCGTGCAGACACCCTTTTGAGGCCCTTGGCTCGCAGCTCCTCCGCGGTCTCAGCGAAGGGATTGGGGAGGCGGGGGGGGGGGAAGGAGAACCCGGAGGCCACAAGCCTCGAGGTCCGGCTCCAGTTAATTAAAACCGAGGCGAGGGTCCTGTGGCGCGGGCTAATCCCCGCGCTGCGCCACCGGCCTGGAAAAGCCTTTAGGCCGTGCCCGAGGCTGAGGACTGGGGCTGGAGTCGGTGGGGACCAGCCGCTTCCTCGAATGAACAGCGGGGCGCTCCATCGGCACTCAGGTTTCCTTTGCTCGCCCTTAGGCCTCGGAGAAGCGCACGGCGTTTATGAGATGTCGATCAGCTCCGTGATTAAAAATCCATCCGGGCATCTTTAATTTCTGCCACTACCGCCTCACGCGAGCGATCTCGCCCGCCTCGCGGCTTTGGGGACCTGTGAGTCTGCGGTGGCCCGCGCGTGTGGGCCTGGGCAGCTCGTCGGTTTGGGGTGGGAAGGACCCGAAGGGACAGACGGACGGACGGACAGAGCGGACAGACGGACGAGCGTGGCATGAGCACCGAGCAGACGCTGGCTCCCCGTTCCGGAAAGCTGGGCTGCAGAGCTGGGGCCCAGGGGAAGAAAAAGTGCTGGGGCACCACGGCCTTCTGAACACTCACTGCCAGCAGCAGAGGAAAAAAGACGCCAGTCTCGAATTGTGGCACTTTGATGGCGCTTAAAGCCTCCTCCATCTTCAGGCCGTCCAGCATCTTCGGGGCCCGGGCCGGGAGGACCTGTGGGGAGAGGTTCAGGAAAGCCTCCCTGGGGTGCGCCCTCTGGGACCGGGGAGCCACCAGCAGCAGGCACTCCTGGGAAAGGACAGGGAGGTGTCCAGGGTCACCAGAATGAGCAGGGGAGGCAGTGCTTCAGAAGGAAACGTGGGGAGGGAGAGGAGAGACGAGTCACCACAGAACCCCACTGCTCTGACTGATCTGAGTTCACTGAAGTCAACATGGGCACCCACCAGACCTCCGCGCCCCCCGACTGCGCTTCTCCTTCCTTGCCCCCCCCCCACACACTGCCGTCCCCATCTCGCCCCCCGGTTTCCCATCCCGGTCCGACTCCGCCCCAACCTATAGCACTGCAACAGGCCCCCAGGGACAGCTCTGGTGGGAACCCGGCGACGTGGGGCAGAATAAAGGGTGGTGGTGTTCCCCTCACAGGGGCCGGGCCCAAACGCCCAGGACTGCTGAACCGCCCGCGCCTGCCCATTGACCCATCCCTCACCTGCCCCCCCCGGCCCAGGAGGAGGCCGAGAGGCTGGGAGCAGGCCGGGCTGCGCCCGCCTGCCTAACAAGCCGACCCCGGGCGCGGAGCCGCTGGGGCGCTGGGGCAAGTCCTCCGCCGGTCGACTGGTGCCAAAGGAACGTCTGCAGGAGCGAAGAGGCTCAGGGGAGGGAGCCGGCTCCACGGCTGGCCCCACTACTCTTGGATGCCTTTCAAATCAACTTGAAACACGCCCGCCCGAGCCCAGGAGCAGGAACTGCCAGCCCTCCTTAATGCCCTGGTGGGCTCCCTGGGAGGCGGGAGGCCGCTTCCAGGCGCCGCGGAGGAGCGGCTCGGGGAGGCTGTCAGGCCCTCGGCCGACATACGACAGGCACGCTGCGCGACCGGGAGGCTGACTGAGCGAGCGCCGGCCCCTGGCTCCTCGGCGCCTTTCCAGGCAGGCATGCCCGGGGGACGTGGCCACCCAATGGCCTTCTCGGCGATCCTGGCCGTCCTCACTCTGGGTGCAGGGGGGTGGGGGGGGAGGCAGGGGGCCAGGGCTGCCCGAGGCCAGGAGGAGGGCGGAGGCCCCGGGGTCGTGGGGTGCAGTCGGGCCCCGCCGCGCCGGGCGGATCCGGCCGCCGCTGACAGGGGCCGTTCACGCGCAGCATGCAGGAGGAAGGTGGGGTGGGTGCGCAGGGGAGGCGGGCTGCGAGCGCGCCCCGGAGCCTGTTTAGAGCCTCCCTTCCCCGGCCCGGCTGGTCTGCCCGCCTGCCGGCAGCTCGCCCGGCACCGCCGCAGGCACGCCAGGTTCCTCCCCACGTGCAGGGGGGCTCCTCGGCACCCCGCACGCCCCATGCTCCACCTGGCGCCGCTGCAGGCGGCGTCCCCGGCCGCCCTCCACCTCCGCCGCCAGCCACCGCGGCCCTCCCAGTGCTGGAATCGGAAGCGCGCCTGGGGCAAGCTGCTGGCATGAAGGGTTGCTCATGGGGGGTGGGATGGGGCGGCCCCTGCGTGCCGGCCCGTCCCCTTCCCCGTCGGCGGGGGCTCCCGCAAAGTTCCCGACTTCCGCTGGGCTCCCACCCTGTTGACCGTTTCAGATGGAAACCCATTCCTGGAGGGAGGGGGGGGGGTTGCAGATGCCAAAGGACCCACGCACGGTCCGGGCTTGAATCGGGCTCCTGGTAGAGACGAGGTGGGGTCCTCCCCACCCCCACCCCAGGCGCTGAGCAGGAAGCCGGCTAAGGGGGCATTCTTTGGGGCGAGAAGTCCTGGGGGGCGATGTCAAGTCACTACACCCCCTAAGCTTAGCTTCCAGCGGTAGACCTCTGGCCCCTCCGGGAGCAGCAACGGGGTCTTAACCGTGTGTGGAGTCCAGGAGGTCAGCACGGGGCCCGGCCCCAAGTGGGTACTCCATAAATACATCATAACGCAGGCTAACATTTTTCGAACATTTTATTTCGTGCCGGCTTTGGTCGCACAGTTAACTCGTTGAATCTTTACAGCAGCCCCTATGGGGGGTGGGGGGAGACAATGGTTATCCCAATATCACAGGTGAGGAAAATAGCACAGAGTAAGTCCCCCCACGCACGGTCAGTTCCGCGGGATTCTCTGGGGGCCCCCTCAATTCCTGGGCCGAAGGGAACTAGATTGGACTTGCCAGGCGCTTTGGCACAGTGAACTGGGAGCAGGCGAGATGCCACATTGCAAGCGCTCTCTATTCCCTTCTCCAAGGACGGGACCACTTCCTTATTTTTCAAGAAATAGTGTTGGCAGCTCTTGTTCGGATGTGCTCGGAAGCCTTGACCCCATTCGCCATTGTTAAGTGCTTTCTGCCAGCAGACCCAAGCCAAACACTGAATGTGACTTCAGGGAAACAAGGGAAAAGGGCAGAGAGTTTAATACTTTACATCTGAATGCTGCTTTAGACTTTCCAGGATACTTTCACCCTACACGATTTTGCTTGGTCTTTACAACAAACCTGTGGGGTAGGCAGAACACAGTTTTAGCCACTGTTTCTGACGAATCTTTGCGGCTTAGTAGGGCTGGGAGATTTCTCTGATGTTGCCCAGATGGCTAGGGGCATGCCCCCGACACCTGTCCTTTGTCCTCTCTGCCACCCCCGGCAGACTGTGGGAAAATAATATGGATTACAAGTATCCTTAGGATAATGTATAAAATAGAAGTCAGGCAAGGAAAAAAAAAATGGAGTCGGGCAAATACAGTCATAGGGAATAGTTTTAAATGCCCGACCGAACTTTGCTTTCGCTAAAGGTCTTGAGTGCATGACATATGTTTAACTAGTGGTAAGAATATTCCTTTTAGAGAATATCCTGAAAGTGTGTGGGGTCCCATCTGACCCGGGACCCAAATCCCTCAAATGGTCTTTGCATCTCTGGAAGGCAGGCTGCGTGATAGGTACAGATCGCTCACAAACGTTCAGTAGGAACGTCTTTCCCCAGCTCTTGGGCTCCTGGGTACCTTCCCAATGGAGACTGTGTGTCATAATCACATTACAAGCTGTAGCGCAAAGCCCGGCACATACATGTGATTAACAGATGCCATTTACCTCACTGATGGATGAGTGCCGTGCTCGCTGTGTGGGGGGAGGGAGGAAAGGTGAAGGCACATGGGGGTCAGGAATCCAGGGACCTCACTTCCATTTCCCAGCTCAGCTGGGCCACGTTCACCTCCCTGTGCGACTGTACTTCCTCTCTGCGACGAAGGCGCCATATGCAATGGTCTGAGAGGCCTTTGCCGTCTGAAGTCTGTGCAACCACACTGACTGTGGACAATGGGGTGGGCTGTAGAACAGCTCCTCATCACATGTTTTGCAGAATGTGTCCAGGTGTAGACGCTGAGGTAGCTAAGTGTCCAAAGCATTAAAGATATACCTTGTTTATTTGGGGTTTTCTCTTTTATGCTTTATTTTACCTTGCTCAATGAATCCCGCCCCTGCCTCATTATCATTTCACAATGGCCTGGGCCAGCTCAGTGACATGGTGGGTAGGTAGACAGGCAGCTTTCCCCTGACAGATTCTTCTGACCATGCCACATGGTTTTTCATTTTAAACTCAAACGCTATCATTTCACCTTTCTGATGACAGAAGATGCCACAAAGCCACTGTCCAAAAGCTCTTTATGAAGAACCAGCCATATTGTCCCTTTCGTCAGAAATATTGTGTTCTGAGCGGTTGTGGAAAGGACGTAATCGGGCTTTAGAAGAGACACCCCAAACTACTGACTTTTAAAGGTGGAAGTGACCTTCAAGCTCATCTGGTCCAAGTGTTAAGTTTATATCGGGTCCAAATTCATTTCCCTAGCCAGCCACATCTGGTCCATTGACTGCTTGGGGCTTGGCCCTTCGTGATGTCAAATTCTACCTCGAAGAGCTGCCTGCTCTGTCCTATTCACTTTGTTTCTGAACCTACTCCAGTCTCTCTCTCTCCAGACCTGTTGCAGCTTTGCAGTGACCGTGGCTTCAGGGCCTCCGCTCCTTCCTGTGGCCATAAAATACCCGTTGACGCGGCCTGATTTGGCGTTAGCCTTTTCAGTGGCCGCCGTTGACTCAGACCGCGTACGTTATTAACAAAACCTCCTCAGTCCTCTTCCACGCAAGCTGCTGGTAGGCCACATCTCCCCCGAACTGCAAATTGTACGATTGGTGTTTGGCCCCAAGTGTGGAAACTTAACATTTATCCCCATTGAGAGATAGGCAGCTGTTCCAAACATCAGGAATCTTGCAACTTCAAGCAGATTCCAAGAGATCCAGGGACTGTGTCTTAAGCCTAGTACTTTGCTTTGAGCGGGGGAAATGCAGGGCCCTGGCCGGTCTGGTCTGGAAGCTGCCGTCGTTGGAGGAAGGCGCACCACGGGCAACGAATAAAAAGCAACAGTGAATAAGGGGCCCCAAGAGGGTGCACAGGACCCCTGTAACCTGGGGGTGCTTCATGGAGGAGGTGCCCCTGGGCCTGTCCCAATTCTCTGCCCTCACCTGTCCTCAGCCAAGTAGCAACGTGTAGAAGATGGGGTGAGACAGGCAGACTGACCGTGGAGCTCCCCTTCCTTCGGCTGGAAACACAGAAGCACCACCCCCAGACTCATGAACCGCTGGTGGCTGGGGTTTGGGGAGAGGAGTGAGGACAGGGGAGGCGGGGGCTACCTCGCGGCGCAGTGGGAGGGAGACAGCGCGGGAGGAAGGACGTCCTGGTGCAGAGTGGAGATGACAGGAACACGTTTTTTTACTTTCCTTTTCTTGCTCTCATTCCTGTGTCTTATTAAGGGAAACACAAAGGGAAAATTGTGTTATTTGTTAAAAAATGTCAAAGTGTGTTTCCAGCGAGAGGAAGAAAAGCAGACACATTGCTGCCTAGACAGAGAAGGCCGTCTTCTGGGGGGGGGGGGCGGCCAGAGACAGGGCGGTGGGGGGGCACTGGGGCTGCGAACTCTGCTGACCCCTGGACTCTTTCCCCAGGACTCCCCCTGGTCCCGCACTCACGTTCAG